CGTGTATACCGTTCGCCCGAACATGGAGGCAGGTCCGGGATCAGGCTTAGTCAATTTGCACAACTGGGGTGTTACTGCAGTCACTGCCCAGAGTAGTGAATCTAGGTGACCCTGCAGTAACCGACTCAACTAGCAAAATGGGTTGACCGCGGTATGTAAGAGAAGTGGGAGAAGTGCCAGAAGTGGGCTGTTCAGCACTGGTATGTCGACTGGCAAGCGGACCTGCAAACCCGTTGTCAAAAGGAACAGCTTGTGCGTCTACCAGCTGAGCAAGGCGCATTTGCTGCTACCCATATTTCTTTGCTGAATTCATGTTCTGTTTCCTCTTGTTTCTCACTTCCCTTTTCTTTGCCCTTCTCTCTTTTTTTCTGGCGCTTCTCTCGTAATTTTTCACAGCTTTTCATTTTCTTTTTTCCAACTTCCCAATCTGCTTCCTCTCCTCATTCTCTTCTCTGGTCGTGCTCCAGTCCCTCAATTCTCATTGCCCAGTGTAGGAGCAGGGATGACCACCTCCATCATTCAGCTGGCAGACGGAAGATGGAAGGCTCCATCACAACAACAGAAAACAACAGAGACGCACGGCCGACAGTCGAGCATGTAAAAACGGAGCCATCTGCCAAGGCGATGGGGAAGAGATTCCCCCCAAAACCAGACACCCCAACACACAAAGTGTAACTATTAGTTTTAACTCGTACCTACCATTAACATACATTACACATGCTTAAGGGCAGGTAATTTGGTGACGAATTCCAGTGAAATTATGCTTAAACACCATGACCAGGCATCAAGCACGCTGCCGATCCAGTCACGAATTCTCGTGACAGGAGGTTCAACACATGCATGAATCCAGACAAGGACTGCTGCACCTTAGGCACAAGGATGCACGCACACGTGTACCACTAATTCTGCAAGAGGGCATCAACTGCGGGCTTGTCCCGACAAGCAAGTTTGCGAAGCCATGGCTGCAAAGTTGTTGTATCTCACGGAACTCAACCAACATTTAAGAAAAGCAAGGGAGAACTGAAAAGACACCCATGCAGTACAACAATGCCTACACCCATATAATGCCCCTCCCCCAGGATGAACACTCCAAGTCGACCTCCTAAGATTCAAATCAACAAGCAGCAGCATGGTGAGCATAGGCTTGAGACTCCCTTTGATCAATCTTCACCATTCAAAACCACATCCAGCTGTAAAATGCCATTACAAAAAAACTACAACAGCATTCTCCCCCCGCCATCCCTTACGTATAAAGAAGAAATTTCCAGACCGTCAAATGTGAACGCTCTATTCTCCTGTCGCCGCCTTGTACATTCCCAGACCACCATCAAATGTGAACATTCTCTTCTCCTCTCTCCCCTTGTACATTCCTCCCTGCCCCTTACAAAGGTAAACGGTTCCCCATTACTCTTCTTCTGCAATCCCTCCACCCCTATGTGCAGCTGGAATGCCCCTCCCTCTCGTTAACTCCTGGACACAGTGGCCATGTGCACAACCCAAACCCTTGATCAGCAAGAATGCCCTCACCATTTCATCTCCGACAAGCAGTCAAATCAAACTTATCAAAGTGACAAATCTAGACAGTACATGTACCTTCACAGTACACAGCACCTGCATACTACATAGTGCCTACRTAGTACATGTACCTTCACAGTACATAGTACCTGCATAGTACATGTACCTTCACAGTACATAGTACCTGCATAGTACATGCCCCTTCACAGTACACAGTACCTACATAGCACATATACCTTCACAGTACATAGTATCTGCACAATGCACCTTCACAGTACATAGTACCACATCAGATGTGTATAAGAGACAGGTACATAGTACCTGCATAGTACATGCCCCTTCACAGTACACAGTACCTACATAGCACATATACCTTCACAGTACATAGTATCTGCACAATGCACCTTCACAGTACATAGTACCTGGCAACCTGCATAGTACACGGTGCCTACAAACTCCAAGAGAAGAGCGTCTGGAAACTTTACTATGAACTTGCTAGAAAGCATGCAGAGTGCCCAACCTGTAGGTGGAAACACCAGGTTGGGTGCTTCCGTGGAACTTTTCTTCCCTGTCCTGTCCTCGAGACACCTGATGGCATCTCTCTGATCGAGTGTCGAGTTCGGTTGGCATTCCAAATGCTCTCCTATTAATGCTATAATCATTTACATAAAGGTATGAATCAATCTATGACATGACATCATATGTACACCTACGTGATATATACATCCTGGATTCGCCAGGAATCCACATCCAGCATCGAGCGAAAGGGCTGAACCTCCCAATCCTTCGCTTCCTCGCTCCCTTCTATCAGAGCTCCTCCTCGATGAACAAACACAAGCACCCCCTATCCTGCATGTCTCCTCTTCTCTGTCTCCCTTAGAAACCGCCGCCCTGCTGTCAGACCGAGGGTCGTGAGCCATTAGCAAATCCGCATACATGCCACCAGCAACGTTTGGGCTTCTGGAATACTCCTCACGTTCTTAAGGCCCGCCTCCACCTGCAGCTGGCTTTGATATCTGACAAGAAAAATGATCCTTTTCTGGTTAAATTTGTATACAACACCCCTGCCAGAACCCAGAGCCAAAAATACAGTCCCAGAAGAAGTTAGAAAAAGGGAAAAACAAAAATGTAGGTGGCAATGAGATCCCCTCATGGTTTCCCTGCTGACCAAAATGCATGCAATTAATTGTAGGGGTGTATTTAAGGGCCCCTCGGCTCCAGGATCTCTCATGTAATGAAATGATTACTGTTCTCCAGAAACGAAAAAGAGAAGGAAAAAAAATCATGCAATCATGCGAAACACAGTTCACCAGTGCCTATACAAAAAGGATGAATGGTACACATGTTATGATCCTGGGTATTTCACAGTGCAAAATCTCAAAGAAAGCCAATGCCATTGAATTGCAACTGAAATGAAAGAGATTCGAAATAGACAGAGGCTGTCATGGGCTCACCATGCGTTGAGGCCAGGCTACGAGGAGTCTACTCTGGTCCATGCGAACACTTGGCTGCGATTCGGTTCGTCGGTACGGACTGATAGTGATACTGATTGTGCCTGACGTCCGAAGTCCTCGAGTAAGAAGGCTCGAGTGATTAGGCTTCCACTGGGGCTGGGTAGAGGTAGGGCTGTCCAGTCCTGGTGCCTATAGCTACTGTTCGGTCTATGTCGCCCTCTGAGGAATAGGGTGATTATCCTGAGTGCTTGTATCACTGAGGTAGGATAGTAGGTATAGGGGTTGCGTTAGGAGAATTGAAGTGAGGCACGGTTGGGAGGCAGTCCTGCCGTCGTGCATCAGGGTACCCACTAGCTGGTTGAGCTGGAATAGTACCAGGAAGGTGTCCCCTCCGATATCAGAATAGGTGGGAGCCATGAGGCCACACCTGGCGGGGGGTGTGGTCCATGATTGGCGCCAGCGGAATACCACCAACTCGGGAACAAACCTCCCCACGAGAACTTCCGATTCGGTTGCCAGTAATAATACTGGGTAGGTTGCCTACTGGGAAGTCTCCCTCCGGCGCTCCAATGACAGTACCCACCTGGGTCGATACCCGACCTCTATAACAACCTGGGCTTTTGAAAAAAAAGAAAAAAGAAAAAGGAAAGAATGGAAGAAGGAAAGAATGGAAGAAGAAAAGAATGGAAGAAGAAGATGAACAAAAGCAAGAACCAATGTCACTCCTCCCTCATCTCGCCATCAACTCCCTCCTCCAGCATCTCCCCCAACATCTCCCCCAACATCTTCCCTATCCCTCCCTATACTCTTAAAAACTGCAAAGGGCGCAGCGTGACTTCCCCGCGCGGGCCCGTGAGAAACCGCCTGGGAGGCAGAACCGGTGGCCTCACGGGGGGGTCTCCCGCAGGGCTGCTTTCATTTCCCAGTTCTTTTGGCAGAGGATTGGCAAGCGGGGGTGGGAAGCCATCCGAGAGGCATCGGGGGAGTGGAACCGAGGGCAGCGACAGGCGATCATCGAGGGGGAGCGGCGGGGTGCATTCGATGGCAACTAAGGCTGAGGGTTTGTCTCACATAACTATGAACTAAAAGAGCGCACTTTGCGAAACAAACGGCAGAAACAGAAAAAAATAAAAAACAAGACAAACATGAAGGGCACACTGAAACCATTCATTTTTCTATTTCTTCTTTTAACTCCCCCTTCACCGTGTCTCTCAAGTACAAGGCTCACCACGTTGATGAAGTTGAGCACGAGCTGCCCCCATCCCCGTGTACCATAACGGTCCACTTGTACGCTGTGAGAAAGAGGCAGAGTGAAGGGGGAGGGGATAAACACAGGGAGGAGAGATGGAGAGCAGACAAACAAAGAACGATAAAGGGAAAGTAAGGGAAAGTACGGAGTGTGGAGGCTAAAGAATGAGTCTGTCCTTGACGACAGAGAGGATATACATTGCAAGGATGAGGTGGATCAACACATGGAAGACCTAGCTGAGCATTCTCAGTGCAACAATTGCCACGGCGGCTGGCATTGCGCATGCCCACCATACACCCCCGACAAATGGCATGTCTATTGCAGGCCAAAATGAAGGAAGAACGGTCACCACAAAGACCATGCATTCAGTACAGTGCCCATGGGCGCAAAATGGACATATAGTGTCTGGATGCGGAGGGTGCCTGCAGTCAGGAACGGAGGGAGAGTCCTTTGCACGCATGGATGCAGAAACCATGTCATTGTAGTGATTGTGACAGAGACGATGGCGGTTACAACCGAGTGTAACAGTGTTTGTGGCTGTTCAAAGGAGAAGGTCGCACAGTGTTGGTACATTGTTTTGCTGCAGCATGGCGCCAGAGGAATGATCTTCGGCATATAAGAGATTGAGGACGGTTTGTTGTGGCAAGAAAACAGCGTCATTTTGTAAGAAATCAGTGACATCAGTCATGGCATGGGCCATGGTCAGAGGCATGTACAATGGCCATGTAATGGCCAGGCCTGTGCACAATGTAGGCAGAGATGTGGGATGGAGGATTAAACCACTCACCTGCTCGCGCATTGCGTAGTTCAAGTTGATGGTCCCTCATTGCTACTTGTAGGACAGCAATGGTAAAGCCTCCTTCGCTGGTATACTTACAATCCTCTGCTGTAGTTGGGGAAGATCAGCATCAAGCTGATGGGCGATTGCAAGGAAGTCTGATGATGTATAAAACGGGCGGTGGAGAATGTGAAGACAGATGTTAGTTGCCGTCAGACCACAGAGATTGGTGAGGTTGTCAGGCTGGTTCGTTGGATTCTGGCCAACAATTTGCAGATCAGCCGGATGGTGTTGCAAGGCAATACTGTGTTGGGTTGTTTGCTGGTCAGTCATTTGCAGATCACCCACGTGGTCTGCGCATGGCGGAGCACAAATTTGTGGTTCACCCGAACAGTGCTGGTCAGCCAGTTGCAGATCCCCCATGTGGTCTACGCCTCGTGAGGTCAACTGCAAGCCGGGCAGATTATGTTCCAATCCCTCAACGTTTAGGGCTGCATCCTGAGTAGGTACTGTCCCTGGAGTCGGGAGTGTACTTTGGGCAGGGACCACATCGTGTTGTACAGGTGAGTCGTGAATATCTAACGCCGCAGGGTATAAAACATGGTGCCGTGGCTGCCTGCAGGCAGCTGGACTGTCTGCAGGAGGCATAGGAGCGGATATTGCCGTTTGAAACAAAGGAACCGCAACAACATGTGGAGGCGGCACAAAGAGATCGGGGCAGACAAAGAAACAGGTTGCTGATCCCCGGACAAGTGACGATGCCGCGGATGTCGTCGGCGATACACAACAAGAGGAGTAGTGGTGTTGCAAACAGAAGATGAACTTGTCCCTAGCAACGAAGGTGGAACAATGAGAACAATGGAAACTGGAGAGTCTGTTCGCAAGCGAGACCGTGGAGGAGATGCGGGTGGTGAGGAGGAACGTAGCCGTTTGCGGCCAAGCACAAAAAGAGATGAGAGGGGAATGGATTGGGCAAGATTTCGGAATGAAGGACGTGAGTGTCGGAGAGACTGTGATTGGTGAGGTTCTCAGGCTGGTTTGTTGGATGCTGGCCACAATTTGCAGATCACCCGGATGGTGTTGCAAGGCCATACTGTGTTGGGTTGTTTGCTGGTCAGTCATTTGCAGATCACCCCCGTGGCGGAGCACAAATTTGCTGTTCACCCAAACAGTGTTGGTCAGCCAGTCGCAGATCCCTCATGTGGTCTACGCCTCGTGGGGTCAACTGCAATCCGAGTGGATTCCAATCCCTCAATGTTTAGGGTCGCATCCTGAGTAGGGACTGTCCTTGGAGTCGGGAGTGTACTCTGGGCAGAGACCACATCGTGTTGTACAGGTGAGTCGTGAATATCTAACGTCGCAGGGTATAAAACATGGTGTTGTGGCTGCCTGCAGGCAGATGGACTGTCTGCAGGAGTCATAGGAGCGGATATTGCCATTTGAAACAAAGGAACCGCAACAACCTGTGGAGGAGGCGCAGAGAGAATCGGGGCAGACAAAGAAACAGGTTGCTGATCCCAGGACAAGTGACGATGCCGCGGATGTCGTCGGTGATACACAACAAGAGTAGTGGTGTTGTGAACAGAAGCTGAACTCGTACCTAGCAACGCAGGTGGAACAATGGGGACAATGGAAACTGGAGAGTCTGTTCGCAAGTGAGACTATGGAGGAGATGGGGGTGGTGAGGAGGAACGCAGTCGTCTACGGCCAAGCACAGACAAAGATGAGAGGGGAGTGAATTGTGCAAGATTTCGGAATAAAGGACGTAAGTGTCGGAGAGACTGTGATGTTCTTTGCACTGGAGCTGCAGGATAGACAACTGTAGCAGTAGAAACTACACTAGGGGGATTTACAGTTATGGAAACTGTTCTACTGAAAACTGCAGCAGTGGAAACCGTGGCAGTAGAAACTGCGAAATGGAAATTGGAGCAGTGGAAACTGGAGCACTGGAGACTGCAACAGTGGACACTGCAACAGTGGAAACCGCAACAGTGGACACTGCAGCAGTGGAAATTGCAGTGAGTGGAGACGGCAGCAGTGGAAACCGCAACAGTGGACACTGCAGTAGTGAAAACTGCAGGAGTGGAGACTGCAACAGTGGAAACTGCAGGAGTGGAGACTGCAACAGTGGAAACTGCGGTAGCAGCGGATGACTAAGCAGGGGCAGGACGAGAGCATCGTGGGGGCGAAGAAGAAATTGGATGATACAAGGACCATCGCAACATGCGTCGGAACCCCTGAGAGAGACGCGTCACATGTGTAGGACAGCGACGTTGGCGGGAGCGCATGTAGCAGCTCCACCCCTAGCAAGGGTTGGTGGGGAATGCCCACGTGAAAGCATACAACGAGTAAGTGTTGTTGCCGCAGTTCGAAAGTCCTGCCAATTGTTACAGATTTGTTCAAATCTGATCAATTGCCCAGTGAACACACCAGCCGGTTGATGGGAAGGAAGTCCTGCCAATTGTTACAGATTTGTTCAAATCTGATCAATTGCCCAGTGAACACACCAGCCGGTTGATGGGAAGGAATGTTGGAGATCGCACTTGGATAACGAATGACAGGGAAATCCCAAGCAGCCGCTTTATCAAAGACGCTTATGCGAAGCGAGCCATCGGAACGGACCTGTAGCTGCATACCTAAAAAGGTACAGGAGCCATCTGTAGCTGTAGTCTCCTTCCACTCCAGCCCATAGTGTTTTGGTGGATGAGGTAAATGCCCCCATGAAAGAACATCATCACTGAGGCGATAGGTGAAGGCATATTGTTGAGCAGCTTGAAGATCATGTTGACGAGTGTCATCAACAAAGCGTGCTTCATCCCAATACAACTTATATTAGAAATATCTGGGCCAACATTTGTTCCCATTGGAATACCGATAATTTGTTTCTGAAGCGTGCCATCTCTCGTGTATAGAAAAACGTTTTGTACAACAAAGCGGAGATGTTGGAGAATCTGAGAAACAGAAAGGGTATCCGAGCCTGAATCAATTGTCCATTGGCCACAACTAGGTCCTCGAATAACCATGTTGAGGACAACGCATCATGAATGCGTGCGAGCTTGCCGAAGGGCATAAGCATGAGCTTCATCAACAACTTTTGCCACATTATTCAGAATGCGGTTATGAGGAAGGTTGGTGTACATTGTGGTAAAATCAACAGTGCGAGGAGAGAGGCCACGAAGAGACGATGCATTGTTTTTCAGGTCAATTGCCACTTCATCGGCACTCTGAACGATCCAGCACCATCGAACACCAACCTGTTGATAGAGCTCGACGAGTAGAGATCACTCCTTGCAAAGCAACGCTAAGATACGACGAAGTAGTCGTTGTGCTAGCCAAGGGTTTGTGAGGAGGCCGTTCATGAATGGTGCGAATTGTTGGACGAGGGCGAGCACGCGGGGGAACAACACTATTATTTTGTGTTGTGACTCCAAGAATGCTGCGAAGAGTTGGAAGAGACTTGTGAGCTTTGAGCACATAGCAAAGGTAAGGTAGGGTATCTGTGTGGGTGTAACCCCAATGGCAAATCCACACTGCATGGTGGTCAAGGACATCAGCAACGGACTCTTGAGGACGAGTATAAGTGGGACTGTCCAAATGGGTAGAGAGATGAAACAGATATCAATTCTTGCAACAAATTGCCAAATTGTGTGATGTTTTGTCCACAGGGACAATGTCAAAGTGTTGTTGAAGATGGTGCAAGGAGGCTGGGTCACATGATTGGAGAACGAAGATACATTGGATTGACAATGTGCAAGGATTGCAGAACGCCAATTGTTCAGCTTCTGAGAAAGAGACGAGAAAGAAGCAGATCGAGAATGTCTGGCCAAAAATCTTTTGTAATTGGCAATGTACTCGTCAGGTCCAATTGCCAGTGCCTGGAGCAGTTTCCCCATTCAGCCGATACTTTGAGCCTTCTTGAAAAAGTTTGCGAAGGCTATCATCGGAGATGATATTGTAGTCAACAGATACAATATGGCCATCCACAAGATCAGAACAATGTGGAAAGGCTCTGCAACATTCGCAATCAGAAGAGTCGCGTAAGGTCATGCTAGGAGTAACACTCAAGGCCACATCAGTGAAGTTACAAAACTGGACACGCATGGGTGGCATCAGTTTGTCACATACACGAACATGTGTGGCTGCTCGAGGACTGGGGTGCAATGCAACTACATCTGGCAATTGTAACACATGGCGCAAGTTTGTAGCACGAGCTACCTCATGCGCATGTACGACCTTGATGTGGTCAGTAAATGGGTCACGAGGTTGTGGCGTGTATGCTGCGATTTTCGGATGAGGCATTCGAGTTCTCGAATGTCTGCTGTCGTGTCTGCATTGGAGACATTGTTGTAAAGCCATTGCAAAAGTCCTACCCGCCATGCTGGTGCTGCGAGCCATCGGAACGGACCCGTAGCTGCATACCTAAAAAGGTACAAGAGCCATCTGTAGTTGTAGTCTCCTTCCACTCCAACCCATAGTGTTCTGGTGGAGGAGGTAAATATCCACATGAAAGAACATCATCAATGAGGCGATAGGTGAAGGCATATTGTTGAGCAGCTTGAAGATCATGTTGACGAATGTCGTCAACAAAGCGTGCTTCATCCCAATACAGCGTTAGATTAGAAATTTCTGGGCCAGCATTCGTTCCCATTGGAATACCGATAATTTGTTTCCGAAGCGTGCCATCTCTCGTGTATAGAAAAGTGTTTGTATACACACACACACACACACACACACACACACGCGTAGCGAGAGAAAGAGCGAGAGCGAGAGAGAGAGAGAGAGAGAGAGAGAGAGAGAGAGAGAGAGAGAGAGAGAGAGAGAGAGAGAGAGAGGAGAGAAAGAGGGTAGGTGGGTGAAGCATACGTTTGGTGAGGGTATGGTACGACACAGTTGCTATCTAACATAACCCTCTGCTGCAAAAGTCTAATTGAAACATCAAACCCCAAGCAAACCCTCCATACACAGCTTCCAATGAGGTTCTTGGTGCAGGTAAAAAAACAAAAAACTTCAATCATGTGAGCTTTGCCCATTGTGCCTTACATACCACTACAGATGACATGTCCTCTTCTCCCTCTCTGCCTACGGTTAACCAGGCAGCTCTGTTTGATGATACACACACACACACACACACACACAGAGAGAGAGAGACAGAGAGAGAGAGAGAGAGAGAGAGAGAGAGAGAGAGAGAGACAGACAGACAGACAGACAGACAGAGAGAGACAGAGGGTAGGTGGGTGAAGCATACGTTTGGTGAGGGTATGGTACGACACAGTTGCTATCTCCTGCAAAAGTCTATTTGAAACATCAAACCCCAAGCAAACCCTCCATACACAGCTTCCAATGAGGTTCTTGGTGCAGGCAAAAAAACAAAAAGCTTCAATCATGTGAGCTTTGTCCATTGCGCCTTACATACCACTACAGATGACATCCAATGACTTTTCATAGGGTATTTCGACCTCGGTCTTCAGGAACACAATCGATTGCAGAGTCTTCGCCCTTGACATATGCAACAAGCTCCATAGGTGCTATGACCAAATTTAGCCACTGCTGCAATTGCTCTCCTTCCAATCGCTCCTCAGCTGCAGTCAGACAAGCGTCAGGAAACACTGCTCAGAGACTAATAATGGTGCTCATAAACCATGGTGTACCTGGCTTATGGCTGAATGGAACAAATCACAGTGGATACGATAACACATTAGTGATTATTCCCCTCCTCCAAGCAAAAAAAGAAAAATCATCGCATGCTATGCATGAAACAAAACAGCACATCCTGAATAAGGGAAGCTGAGACAACTTAGCCACATGTCTCGCATGTGTGCACACCCATGCTATTTCCTCACAACCTGCTGCTTACCAAAAAGCATTCATTATGAGCCTCGGGAGGAAACAACTGCTTGCAGGAAGTGACACTGTCGAGGAGCTCTATTACAGCTAAGGCGATGTTTTGACCTTCACCTTGAGCTTCAGACAGAAGACCGGAGCCCTATATCTGACCAGATCTTTGGGGTCAGGATCGCCCGACTCGTGACTAAAAAGCCAGCAAACAGCCTGCAGTTGATTAGCCAGGTCTGGAACCTTTTCCCAGACCATCTGGACCTGAAACATCTGGCTGAATGCCCGGTCCTGTCACCTATCTTTAAACGAATTCAGGAGATGCAATGAGTGGCATGATAAAGGACTTCTCCATGCCAGGTCAGCAAAGCACAATAAGCCAGGGCAGTGTTCTCAGCAGGAGACTATCTGATACACCATCTATCATCTATGTGAAAAATATGGCTGACAGCCCGTGCCCGCTACCTATCTTTTGAACAAATTCAGGATGCGCGATCTTTGGCATGGTAAAGGACTTCTGCAAGCCAGCATTGCCAGGTGAACAAAGAATCAAAACACCGGTGTTTCTCAGCAGGAAATTTTCAAACAGTCTATCCTTGTCTGCTAGTCAACCGCAGGCTAACAACGAAGCTACTCCTCCCATTTTGTGATATCTTGTTCATTTGACATTGCATGAAATCATAGAACCTGCCCTCAAAAAAAGTAATGCTTAAACAGCCTGTACATCCTCGAGGCAAACTTGAGAATCAAAATTGAGCCAATCCAAAAATTTCGGAGGCTCAGGGCTACGGGACCAAAATGGCTGGCAGCTCCAGCCAAACGAAAAGAAAAAGTGTTGCTCTGGTGTTTCGGCAAACCTTGGCATGCAGGGGGAATCCACCTCGGTAAAGAGAGGCTCGGACGTACTGGTGATTTGGGGAGAGCAGGGTTCATCAGTTGACTGAAAAGCGAATAAATGACAAAGACAATTGAAATATACATATTTAAATGATATTTTCCTTTTGTTTCTCAAACAAAATTTATCTTGTAAACCATGCGCAACTCTCCCCCCACCGGCCCCCAGCAAACAGCCTGTGGTTAACAAGCAGACAAGGACAGACCTGTCCAAAATCTTTTCCCAGAACATCTGGACCTGAAAACTCTGGCTGAATGCCTGGAACCGCTAAATATCAATTTTATTTCTGGGTGGGGTTCCGGGCCGCCCGGCGGACCGGCGGGGGCCCGGGTGGGGTCCCGGGCGGCCTGGCCAGGCAGTGCACCCGGTCGGTCCCCGGCCCCCCCCAGCGCACAGGGCATTTCGGGGTTTTCAGACCCCATTTCGAACGGTGGTGGCCTCCCGCAGGCCTACCGGGTCCGACCGGCCCGAAAACCCGCGGCATCGGGCCCGATAGGCCTGCAGGAGCCCGTTTCAAAATTGCGGCGGGTCTGTGGCCATTGATCCACCTTGATCGACGGCCACAGAGCCGTCGCAAGTTTCCCGCCCAATTTCGATTGGCGGCGATCTTGCCCGCAGCCCGTCTGTGGGTGTTCGCTGGAGCTGCCCCCTTCGACCCGCCGCCCGTTGCTGTTCGCTGGAGCTGCCCCATTTGCCCGTCATTCATCGTCGCCGTTCGCAGGAGCTCCTCTTCCTCGCACGCTGCCCGTCCTCGTCGTCAGCTGTAGCCGGTCGTCGTCGCCCATCGCCGTTTGCAGGAGCTGCCCCCTTCACCCGTCGCCGTTCGCAGGAGCTGCCGCCATTCTTCTTCTTCTTCTTCTTCTTCTTCTTCTGCTTGTGTATCGTGGACGTTGGTTATGTCGCGCGAGACTCGGAAGGTAAGAAAAACAGAAGGGAGGCCGTCAGGCACGTCGAGCCTTCCCCTCTTCTTCTTCTTCTTCTTCTTCCCCCATAATCTTTCTTCTTCTTCTTCGTCTTCCCCTTTGTCCCCCCCCCCTCTTCTTCTTCTTCTTCTTCTTGTTGCATCAGTCGACCTTCGGCAGTTAACGACGAACTTTGGGGCAGGGCATATCTTCGGCGACCTTAGGCAGTTGTCGCGAACGGCGAACGGGGAAAAAAAAAGGTCGTCCTCCTCCCCCTCCTCTCCTCTCCTCTTCTCTTCTACTTCTTCTTCTTCTTCTTCTTCCCCCACAATCTTTCTTCTTCTTCGTCGTCTTCCCCTTTGTCCCCCCCTCCTCCTCTTCTTCTTCTTCTTCTTCTTCTTGCATCAGTCGACCTTCGACAGTTAACGGCGATCTTTATCTTCTTCGGCCTATTGGCTGTTTGGGGCAGGGCACATCTTCTGCAACCTTCGGCAGTGGCGAACGGAAAAAACAAAAAAAAAGGCCGCCCTCCTCTTCTCTTCTTCTTCTTCTTCTTCTTCTTTTCTTCTTCATTCTTCTTCTTCTTCCTCCTTCATTGTCCTCCTCCCTCCTCCTTCCTCCTTCTCCTTCTGCCTCCTCCTTCTTCCTTCTTCCATCACATCTTGCCATCCATCCATCCCATCTCGCCATCCATCCCTTCTTCCTCCTCCTCCTTCGTCCTTCTTCTTCCTCCTCCTTCCTCCTCCTTCGTCCTTCTTCCTCCTTCTTCCTCCTCCTTCCTCCTTCTTCCTCCTCCTCCTTCTTCCTCCTCCTTCCTCCTCCTTCCTCCTTTCTCTTCCATCGCATCTCGCCATCCATCCCACCATCCCATCTCGCCACCCATCCCACCATCCCATCTTGCCATCCACCCCTTCGTCCTCCTCCTCCTCCCTCCTCCTTCCTCCTCCTCCCTCCTCCTTCCTTCTTCTTCTTCCTCCTCCTTCCTCCTCCTCCTCCTCCTTCCTTCTTCTTCTTCCTCCTCCTTCCTCCTCCTCCTGCTTCCTCCTCCTCCTTCCTCCTCCTTCTTCCTCCTCCTTCCCCCTTCTTCCTCCTCCTCCTTCCTCCTTGTTCTTCCTCCCCTTCTTCCTCCTCCTCCTTCCTCCTCCTCCTTCCTCCTCCTCCTTCCGTCACATCTCACCACCCATCCCACCATCCCATCTCGCCATCCATCCCACCATCCCATCTCGCCATCCATCCCACCATCCCATCTCGCCATCCATCCCTTCTTCCTCCTCCTCCTCCATCCTTCTTCTTCGTCCTCTTCCTCCTCCTCCTTTCTTCTTCTTCCTCTTCTTCTTCCTCCTCCTTCCTCCTCCTCCTTCCTCCATCTTCTTCCTCCTCCTCCTCCTCCCTCCTTCCTCCTTCCATTACATCTCGCCATCCATCCCTTCTTCCTCCTCCTCCTTCATCCTTCTTCTTCGTCCTCCTTCCTCCTCCTCCTTCCTTCTTCTTCCTCTTCTTCTTCCTCCTCCTTCCTCCTCCTCCTTCCTCCATCTTCTTCCTCCTCCTCCTCCCTCCTCCTTCCATCACATCTTGCCATCCATCCCTCCATCCCATCTCGCCATCCACCCCTTCTTCCTCCTCCTCCTTCATCCTTCTTCTTTCTCCTCCTTCCTCCGCCTCCTTCGTCCTCCTTCTTCCTCCTCCTCCTTCCTCCTCCTCCTCCTCCTCCTCCTTCTTCTTCTTCTCCTTCTCGCAATTGGAGGTGTCCGGCGAGAATTGCAGGTGCATGTAGGAGTTTGTTGGAGCGCCATGGCTGGTGGGAGCAAGGGAAAGGATGCGATTGGTGGAGAAGGAAGTCGGAGACAGTTGGAAAGGGGAGAGGGGAGCAGGAAGAATATCGCCAGCTCGAGCACGCCTTCGTCGGGGGTGAATTGTAAAGAACCCACACTGGCCAGCGACCCCTCGTAGTTCGTCCCGCAGGATGAAGCGAGGCAAAAGAAGCTGCAGGGCGAGAAGGAGGTATGGAAGCACGTCGAACAACGACAGGAGGCTGTGCCGAAGGGCCGGGGAGAGTATTGGCTGAAGTGTCGGCTATGCTCAACCACCTGGAGGGGCACACGCACACGAGCAGCCAAACATTTCATGAAGGTGCTCAAGCCGTGCCCTTTTCGTACGGGGGAGATGTTGCATACGCTGGTGGCCGAAGGGGAGAAGGTGTTGCGTCAGACAAGAAAACTCGCTACTTGCTGCAGAATTATTGGCAGCTACACAACATCTCAGAAGGGGGGGGGGGCAAGCAAAAGTTGGTGATGGTGACGCGGTAGTTCGTCGTGCTTACGAGGAGCCACAACCGTCGGTTCCCGCAGGGAGGGAGCCGGTTGAGGACACAGTGGAGCGGGGAAAGGAAAGTGCATCGGGGGAGGCGGTACGAGAAGAGTGTGATTCGACTACAAGGCCGACTGCTGTGCAGCAAATGACCATCAGGAGATGGGTGGACAACACAGCCCAACAGAACTTGGACATCGCATGGGCGAAGGCAATGTTCCGGGCGGGAATTGCATTCAATTTCCTCAACCTCGACACTACTATGAAACTCCATGAGGTGTACTTGGAGGTGGCCACCGCACGACCGAAGGTGAAATTGCCTTCAGCGAGGCACATCCGGACGGTGATGCTCAACTTCATCTTTCTGCGCATTCAAAAGCAAGTGCAGCCTCTGACCGCATGTCGGGATGTCACGGGCTGCACTTTCATCACGGACGGGTTGACAGATCGGAGGGAAAGGCCTGTCCTGAACTTCTTGGCGGCGGGGGAGCAGGCAGCGGTCCTAGTGGTGACGGTGTCAATGGACGGAAAAAAGAAGACTGGGCCAGCGCTAGCCAGACTTTGGGAAAAGATTATGAGGGAGATCGGGTGCATCAGCGTAATTTGCACAGACAATGCGGAGGCCAACAAGAAGGCCGCGCAAATTTTGGAGCGGCGCACAGACCCGGCGGTTTCACGGATACCTTGGGTTCCGTGCGCTGCGCACTGCTGCTCCTTGCTGCTCCGGGACATCAGGAAGTTGGATTGGATAAAGGGTATGATCAAGCGGAGCCACACCATTGTGAAGTTCATACGAAACCACCATTGTACGCACAGTCTAATGATGTCGTTGATGTCGTTGGACAACTCATTGTCGCTGACGCGGCCGACGGAGGTCCGTTTTGGGTCAGTGTACATGATGATGGAGCGGTTGTACGATCGGAGGGCGATATTGAAGCAGATGGTCGAAGGGAGCATGGTCGGGAGATGGAAGGCGATGCGGTGGTCGACGACCAAACTGCAGTCCAAAGCAGATCTTGTGTTCTTCACGTTGCGGATGGAGAGTTGGTGGCCGGAGTTGAAGAAGGTGGTGGAGGTGATGGAGCCGTTGTATAACTTGCTTCGGAGGATGGACAAGGACGGGACTGCACCGTCAAACCTTGTGGAGTACGACAAGCTCATGGAGAGGATGCTGGGGGAGGTTGTGCTTACCACGGAGCAGCGAGACACAGTGCTCGAGAGGGTGAGGGACCACATGAAGATGATGCAGCAACCGGTGCACGCCTTGGCCTTTCTTTTGGACCCACGGCGGAGAGAGCCAAAGTGGTTGTTGGATCGGGACAGCGCACTTGTACAGAATGCGCTGAATTATTTACAGCGGCAGATCGACGGTCCATGGAAATCGGATGCCCACGTGAACATTCTAAGTGATCTGCGAGAGTTCCACATGAAACCCACCGACCACAACCCCCGGAGGAAGGACCGAAAGATGTGGGAAGAAGATGCTATCGCAGATTGTCACCTCATCTCGCCATCGAAGTGGTGGGCAACTCATGGGGGTGATGTGCCCTGCAGTACATTGCAATCAAAGTAATGGGCATGTGGAGCACGGCAACTCCGGCGGAGCGGAATTGGTCTTCGAGGACTTGGTCCACTCGAAGCGGCGGAATAGGTTGAACCCTTCAACCTTGGAGAAGTTGGTGTATATTCATTGGAATATGCAACTTCTGCGATCAGGGAAGAATGTGAAGGACAACGGTTACATCGATTTGTGGGCGCAGTTCTTCGAGTCTTTGCCGGAGCCGGAGGCGGACGACGGTTCTACTTTGAATGAGCCCGTGGAGGAGAAGGACAAGACGGAGGGTCGGATTCAGAAAAGACTCGAACACGAGGACGAGGAGGAGAAGCGAACCGACGACAGCGACCTTGACGACGAGGTGTGGAAGGGGAAGACTCCATGGTCAGAGGCGTCCAGCGAAGAGGAGGTTGACGAGTCATCGGACGATGACTTCGAGTTGGGACTCCCACCTCCAATCCCGTGCACCACATATGTCGGGAGGAGGGCAGCCACACAGCGCCATCGAGAACGGCCGCCCGCAACACCTTCTCAATGCCCGGCGAACACCGCAACGCAGTACAACATCCAATCGGATGTTGACCTGCCGCAGACCGACACCGACATGGAGATGGTGCTTCACACACGTCCAATCGATACGGATGAGGAGGACGCCGACCGTGCAAAGGCATGGGCTGATGCGGATCGAGAACGGGTGCAAAGGAGAATGAGGGAGGAGGAGGAGCGGCGCGCAGCTATACCGACCCGCAGAGAGTTGGAGAAAATGAAGAAGAGAGTTGGAGAGCGAGAATCGCAGCCAGTGGGGGGTGCGGGCCGGCTGGAAGAGGACAAAGAAGACGCGTTGGGCCAGCAAGAGGGGGAGGCAGAACAGGAAATTGGCCAGCCAGCGCAGGAAGAAGAAAACATGAACACGCAAGAGGAGGAAGAAGATGATGGCATGGACCAGCGAGAGGAGGAGATGAAGGATGACGGGGAGGGCGTGGAACATCAAGAAGAGGACCTGGAGGAGAGTGGGAAGGAGCAGCGGCAGGAAATGATGGAGAACGGCGAGGAGGAGGAGGAGAAGAATGCACCGACGACCGTGTACAAGCGTCGGAAGAGAACTGCGGAGGCAGCTGGGTCACCAGAGAATTCCCCCGACTTCCCAGCCAACAATGCGGAAGCCCAACGTGACAACGTGTGGGTCAGCAGGGTTGGGAGGAAGAGGAAGGTGCCCCGTGAAGATGAACAGGCGAAGCCTAAGCTTCCACGTGGCTGGCCTCGGAAGAACACGACCGCCGGTCCGGCTGCGAAGCCGAAAAAAAAAAATACAGCGGTGCAAGCCTCGCAAAAAAATTGTTGACGATGACCCCGAATCCGACAACTGCAGCAAGCAGTTGGACGAAGACGAGGGTGTCATTAGGCCGCCATGGCTGACTCTGCCCACTACCCCAACTGGGGACTTCCAGATGCAGCGCCTATCAAGGTGATGAAGATGGTGTCCACCATCGCCAGGTAGGTACCTTGCCACTCTCCTCCTTGGTCCTCTTCTCCCTCCTCCTCCTACCCATAGAGCTCCACCATAGCCAAGGTGGAAGCTCCCGGGCTTCTTCCTCCCAACAACATTGTAGTAGCCAGCGCTCCTCCAGCCAACACTCCAGCAGTGTGTCGCCAAACTTGCACACTGAAGAATGAGGCTGGGCTCTTCGCTCAGCCTCAAGATATAGCGGCCTACTTGCCTCCTGGGCGGTGACTTCCAGGCCCCTCGGCCTCCCAAGCAACTGGTACCTCCTCCCTTTCGGAGGGAAACACCATTGCAGTCTCTAATATTGCTACGTACATGCCCTAGACTCAGACTGGATGGACTGGTACCCGCCTAGGCCTAGCCTACCGCTACTAGGCCTCTGAAAATGCCAACTTCGTCTTCTTTTGCTCGGCCTAGAGTACCTGGCACATCTACTTCTACTGGGTGCGGTACCGGCCTACCTGCTACTTGAGTGTTTTTCCGCTGCTCTAAGTGCCGCAGGCCTTTGGCTCCGCCACTTGAGTGTTTTCCCTGCTGCAAAAACCCTCAATGTCAAGGCCACAGGTAAGTACCGTCCCTACGGGCCTCCCAAACAAGTAAGTACCCTTGCAGGTCACACACATACTCGTGCCGACAAGCACTTAGACAGGCACGCATGTCACCAAGCACGCACACACACAGACTTAGAAAACTCAGTAGAATGCGGGAATCTCAGCAAGGCATCCATTCCATCGGAAGAACTCCGAAATCAGCAGTGTTCTCAGTCCGTGCTATGACGAGTCATTACACTACCCCCCCCTCAAGAGCGAGGTCCCTTCGAGCGAGTAACTCACTCAGAGTCCCTGCATAACGCATCATAAGCATAAATGGCAAAAGAGAGATCGGGTATGTTCCGTAGGAGTGAGGGTAGTGGTGAATTTACGTTGCTGTTCGGAGACAATCAATCGTTCATATGCATTGACCACTCGCGGGGCACTCTGCAGCAAGTCTTTCTTAGCAATCCAGTAAAAATCATTTAATGGGTGATATTTCCTGTGCTCGGCAATTCTATCAATCTCGTGACCTCCATTGATTGCGAGTATTAATAAAAAAGGTTGTTGGGATAATAATAAAAAGTGTCGTTGCAATGAAAGCAAGAATATTAACTTCCATAGAGCAATCATCAATTTTCGATACGGAAAGGTTTCAGGTGGTACATACGAAAACAACTTTGACGTGTGAAAGACTGGGTGCGTGCGCAGATGAGTAGGCACGTCGATCGTGTAAGGAGGACCGAATGAATCATCCCCTACCTGGTTCAATACCTTCCACGGACCGTAATACTGAGGAAAAAGCTTTTGTGATACGCCCTCTTCCTTAGAAAACTCAGACATCTTGACCCAAACGTAACTTCCCATAGTGAAAGGTACAAGCTGGCGCTTCTTGTTGGCATGCTTAATCATGGCACTGCTTTCCATAGCTGCAACAACAACTTTGAGCAAGCGATCAAACTTAGCGTTGTAGCCAGGCTGGCTAGGTGTTAGGCCAGGTGGCGGGTCAAGAAACAGATAGGATAGGGGATTGCGAATTTGCCACCCGAGGTGCAGCCGATTAGGTGTCATCCCGGTGGAGGAGTGTATGGAGTTGTTGTACAATCCCTGCACTATCAGCAATTCCTCATCCCAAGAGTTCTGATCAGGCACAATTAGAGCTCGGAGAAGTTGAATCACAGTCTGGTTGATTTCCTCGGCTAGTCCATTGGCTTCAGGATGTCGACCAGACGTCTTCTTGAGCTTGATGTCATACATTTGAGAGGTGAAATCTTCCCAATCTGCTCTTACGAACCTAGTGTCCCGATCACTCACGAGAGTCTTCGGGGGCCCACATTGCAGAATGTCCTCTTGTTGAACTCCTCGATCACAAGGCTAGTTGGGGCGTGAGGTGGCAATGGAATCAAATTCAGAATTTCAAAAAGCGGTCAACGATCACCATTATTTGCGAATATCCATTCCTGCTCTTCTTTCCCGTGTCCGTGAAGTCAATGGAAAGAGAATCACCCAAACCATCAGGGATGGGAAGAGGATGCCGCAGCCCATAGGGCTTTTGCCAAGACGGTGTGATGCGTTGACAAACGTCACACTCAGTCACAAACTCCCGTGCCATTCCTTTCATCCCAGGCCATACAAACTTTTGCAATAGGCTTCCGTATGTCTTCTCAAAATCGAAGTGTCCACTCCGGCCATGAGCCAAGTCCAAAAGTGAGTACGGATAGGCTCATGGTTGGGTACACACAGTCGGTCGTACTTCTCGTAACGTCGGAAGAGCAAACCTTTACACTCGTGAAAATCAGGTTGATGCTAGGGTCAGCTTGGATTTGCTCAAAGATAGGACTTGAGTTCCGGGTCCTTGGCAATATGCTCAACTAGTTCCTCCTTCAAATTCTTACGGAGATCATAGGAGCCCACAAGGCAAGTCATGCACTCAAGGTTGGACAAAGCATCCGCAACGCGATTGTAACAACCTTTCTTGTGATCCAAGTTCAAAATCATACACATCAACCTCACACAGCCAGCGAGTTAATATAGTTGATGGATTAATTTGTGTTTGGATCCATTTCAAAGTCTCGTGGCCTGAGAACACTTTGAAATGTCGACCCAAGAGGTAGTGTTTCCAATGATCTAGTGCCTCTCAAGGCATAGAATTCTCGCATGTAAGTGGAGGCAGCTACCTTGTGACAGGGCATGTGTTTGCTGTAATATTCAAGCGGACATAAGCCGTCACCATCATCTTGCTGCAACACTGCACCGATCCCATACAAGCTTGCAGCCGTAGTTACTACGAATGTAAGTTTGGGATCTGCAATACGGAGCACGGGATGACTCACCAAAGCTTCCTTCAATGCTTGGAAGGCGGTTGTGCATTCCCCATCCCATGTGTAAGACACGTTCTTGCTTGTCAATTTGGACAGCGGACGAGTGATGATAGAGAATTTGGGCACACACTTACGGTATTTGCCTGTTGAGGTCATTTGCGGATGACCTCAACTTTGGTTGCCTTGGGCTCTAGGCCTGCAGCAGACAACCGATATCCAAGGTAAATGACGTTGTCCCTCTCAAACTTAAATTTCTCTAAGTTGAGATGGAGTTGCGCATCCTTTAGGATCTGCAACACTTCCTCAAGGTGTCTCATGTGATCCTCCATCGACTTGCTGAAGATTAGTATCTCATCCAGATAAACAACAACAAATCGAATGATCTGACTGCTGAACACCTTGTCCATGAGACTCTGGAAGGTGGTTGGTGCATTCGTGAGACCGAAGGGAATGACGGTAAACCCATACAGCCAATCGCGAGTTTTGAATGCAGTTTTCTGTTGGTCAGCGGGGTCGACTTCAATCTGGTGGTAACCAAACTTGAGATCGATCTTGTTGAAGACCTTGCATCCACTTGCAACATCAAGCAGATCATCAATGCGTGGCAAAGGGTATGCATTTTTTCTTGTTATTGTATCAAGTCCACGGTAATCGATACGCAGTCATCGCTTGCCTCCTTTTTTAGGGACAAACAAAACGGGTGCACCGAATTCAGATTCGCTTGGCTTGATCCAACCTTTTTCAAGCATGTCATCGATCTGCCTTCGCAACTCCTCCAATTCGCCTGATCCCATTCGATAGACACAACCCTTTGGAGGAGTGCTGCATTCTATCAACTCGATATTGTGTTGGACCGGACGCACGAGAACTCCAGGTGGTTCGGCCAAAACTTCAGGGAATTGAGAAGGTTGCGGATCTCTGATGGGATCTCCGGAGGTGGATCATCAGAATCTGGTGCAAGCATACTGGACTGCATAGGTGTAGCCAAAACAACAGGATTTGAAGTAGTTGCATTAGAAGTAGAAACAATATGCAAAGTAGAATCATTATGTACAACAAAAATAGAAGGCACATGAGCAGGCCTAACAAAGGCTATATACATTTGCTCATCAACGTTGCACCTGCGCCAATTTTTGCAGAATTTCATTGCATTGAGAAAAGTCACTTAGGACTCGTGCGGCGGCTCGTCCAAGAGGGACTAGATTCTCGATTCCCATGGCATCTTTGACCATGAATTATGAGTCCTTCCACGTGGTTCTTTCACAATGGGCCTGCAACCAACCCAAGCCAATAACCGCGTCGAAGGGGCACTTATCAAGGACATAGAAGTTCAACTTATGTGTGATGGTGCGGTCTGCATCGAAGGTAGTGCGCACACCTTTGACTGCATGGGTAGATGTGACAACCTCTTGGTTGCCCACTTGGGTCCGACAAGGATTATGCATGTCACTTGCTTCATTCCCAAGCGTGCCTTACAAATGTCGTGCGGTGAGAAGTAGTTGGTGGTTGCGCCACAATCAGCCAGCGCACGGAGTTTGAAGGAAGATCAACTTCGTTTTCCCTTGCGTGCGTTTTTGCTTCATGTGAGCCCAACGCAACAAGAGAGCATGAAAGTCAATCTCTCCCGACTCGACCCAAGACTCCTTGTAGAGGATGTGCAATTTCTCAGCCTTAGAATCAGCATCAGATGGGGTCTCAAGAGAAGTTTGTTGAGTAGGATCAGAATCCGGTGAAGGATCTGCACTTACATGTTCATCCTCTCCGTTTGTAGAGTGTGCTGATGATGTCTCTACCCTCTTTGCTGGTTTCCCTGCTGCAGTCTAAAGCACTGTTGGACTGAGTGTCCTGGTTTGGTGCAATGCAGGCAAACTCCTTTCCTCACCCCGTGTTTCCACTCACTTTCACTAGTCCGGAGATCAACCCATGGTTTTGCGGCAGGATCCTCCGCTTTGGGTGGAATCTTTGCTCCTTTGGGGAGGTGAATGGTGTTAGTGTTGTTCTTCACTGCATTCTTCAGAAGCTAACTTTTTAAGGTAGTCTTCTTAAAGGCATTCATTGATTCATCATCATCACCTACATAGTCGGACTCATGGGCTCACCAAGAGCAAGATGCCTCGTACGTAGTCTTGCCCTTGATCGTCACCGAGAGAAGGGTCCTCTGCAAAGGCCTCCTCGTCAACCTCAAGTTGATCGTGCGCTGCAAAACGGTTGCTGCCCATAAACCGTTTACGGCTCGTGGTCTTTTTGCCACCCGATGCACCCGGGAGATCTTGTGCCTCCAGCTTGACTAAATCCCGCATGAGGGAAAGCCAATTTGTATATGTTACGAGTCTGAGGCCCAGGCGATGTGTTACAGTAGAGGAAATCGTACCTTAATCACATCCAAGCAAGACTACGCAGTCATCTCCAGATTAGGAGTAACAAAGAGTTTACTACCTTACTGTTGCAGACTATGCACGGTGTCGGTCCACTTGATGTGCTTAAGCTTGTCAAGCTTGAGTCTAGCTTTGGCTGCAGCATGCGGATCAGCATATTGCTTGATCAAGAGATCCTCGAGTGTGGCTATAGGCGTAGCCTTCAGCCATTTGTTCAGGTCTATTATTTTATAGCCTGACTGTACAGCTTAGACTTCTAAGAAGCCTCTTATGGCGGGTTCCACATTGGTCCCTAGGACCGACAACTGAGTAACCGGGGGTGTTCCCAACACATCAAAGTAGGATCGCATAGAGCTGATCCAAGATTCAGTGTCGTCCTTTCCGTCATATTTAGACGGAATCTATGTCGTCTTCCTGTCCACGTAGGGAAAGCCGCAGCTAGGACAAGTGATTGTTGGGTCCGAATTCGGGGTTGCAACAGTTCCAGAATGCCCTGCACTGCCACTTGCCACTACAGCAACAATAGCAGCAACATTGGGGTCTGGACCTGCTGCAGATCCGGAATAGGCTGTTGACCACACTCTAAGAAGAAGAAGAAGAAGAAGAAGAAGACACAAGAGCGGACTGACATGCAGCATTGGAAGCAGGGTAAGCAGACAGAAGGACACTTTGGGCCGGCTACATGTTAGCAAATTGTTGCAGCTGGTCACGGTGCTCCTACGCCATCAGGGTCATATCCTCGCGCAACTTCTTGAGTTCATCAAACACCTTCGCGAGTTGGCCAGTATGGTCTTCGAGAGCTCGGACATCTACTAAAACCTTGAGAAGTGGGACAATTTTCTCTTCCACCTCGGCATCAGTTAAGGCGGGCACGGTACTGAAGACGGATTCATGAGCCTTTACTTTGTCTCCCTTCTCCTTCTCTTCCTCTTCCCTCTTCAACGCTTTTTCATAAAAGAACCGGTACTGCGTTTTTTTTGCCTCAGGGGCAGCGTCCATGTGCAACTTCCATTCCACTACAGACGTCATGATGGAGGATCAGGGTGTCAATAAGTCTCTTAAGAGTGGTCCGTACTTTCTCACAGTTCTGGGACAAACACTCCTCTTTTCTCTCCTCACCCCCTCAAGAGAAACACTCAAAAGCTTCTTTCTTCTCTCTCTCTCTTTCGTTTTTTTACGATCGCGTAGACGCAGACATTAAACGAACCCGGTGAAAGAAACGACTTGAAAGCAATTAGGAAAGAAGTTAGAACCCCTAGCCGAAGAGGCACTGGAGAGCACTCAAAACACAAGAAAATAAAATAAAATGATCAAAGAGATCTGATTCGCAACATAGTCTGGTCCGACTACGTATGAGGTCCTCTCAAGCCTAGCCGGACTCAGCTCCGTAAAGACGAAGCAAATCAGATTCAAAGTGTACTACACAATGCAAGAGAGAATTAAGTGGTGTCCAGGATGCGAGTCAGTCGGCGGAACGTGTGGTAAAGTCCGTTGAAACGCCTTAGCTGAGAACCCCTCAACAGCGAGTGTCGTGGTCCGAAAGCATGAACTCCGAGTCCCAATCAGATAGAGCAAGGTAACTAACGTCAACAGATTTGGGCCTGAGGGGCCCTTCGTGTTTGGGACTGGTCCCACTGATTCCCAAATGGTCCCATTGGAGTCAGAACCGGGTCCCAACCAACAAGAGTTCCACAAAGACCTACTTTGTGCCCCTACCAAATTGAAAAACGAATTTTAGCCCCAAAAGAACCTGCAGATTACAGCCGTTCATAATTAAATAAACAAAGCACTGTAGAAAGATATAGCATGGCACACAAGATACTCCATTCATCCACTCATCAAGTGAGTAAGTAGTTCACACACTTCACACAAGATCAAGACTATGGAGGATGGAAGAATAACCCAAAATACCCCAACAGACAGTCAATTCCATGCACACACACATGGGCACCCTTGCGGCACGACACTTACCTGATTGGTCGGGCTCTTGAGATGAAAGAAACTCACCCCCCTCTCACATAGTCCTCCTGACCCAACTGGCATCCTATACACTAGTGTCCTATCATCTAGGAGGGTCAACATTGACCCCAAAGTACAACACAGGATCCCCCGTTGATGTTGAAGATCAAAGTAGCAACTTGCAGTCCATAGGTGCGGATATGGCTGCCACTCTCAAGCTCGCCTAACTTGAGGGGAGCCCTAAAGTCACTCCTTGCCTTTCGTGAAGTCCTGATTCCAATTGTAGGTGCCCTTCACTGTCGCCTCTCTCCAATTGCATCACGAAGTCCCACCTTGTGTCTCGCCACCACAAACATGCACTCTAGCAACCTGGGCTGGTCTCATGTCGACTCTACACGACCCTGCCAGGTGGGAACAACTTCCCTTTCACCACGCTGCCCACCCTAACTTCCTGCCCTGACCCTAAGTGGTTAGCCCTTACCACTTAGATTAGGGTTATGGTAGCAAAGTCGACTCTCGCCAGGAAGTAGAATCCGCTCCGATACCAATTTCGAAGTATACATTCATCAGAACGTACAATGTCGTCCAATTGCAAAAAGAAATGAATGAACTTGAGAGGAGAGAGAGGGAAAGAAGAAGACGAAGAAGAAGACGAAGAAGAAAGAAAGAAGATGTACTCCAGCATATGCCAATGACAATGCTCTTCTCCTTCGCCAACCACTCTCCTCCCCTCTTTTTCAAACAAGAAATAACAATAATAATGTTGAATGGCGAACTACTGAGCTCAACCCTCCTGTCCAAAGGACAACCCAAAGCAGCCACGTCGTTGCCTTCCTGTGCAAAGGACAACGCAAAGCAGCTATGCCGCTGCTCGTTAGGCCGCCATGACTGACTCTGCCCTAAGCTTCCTTGGTGCGGCACTACCCCAATTGGGGCCTTCCAGATGCAGCGCCTATCTGAAGATGGTGTTCACCATAGCCAGGTAGGTACCTCGCCACTCTCCTCCTTGGTCCTCTTCTCCCTCCTCCTCCTACCAGTAGAGCTCCACCATAGCCAAGGTGGAAGCTCCCGGGCTTCTTCCTCCCAGCAGCGCTGTAGTAGCCAGCGCTCCTCCTGCCAGCGCTCCAGCAGTGTGTCACCAAACTTGCACATTGAAGAATGAGGTTGGGCTCTTCGCTCAGCCTCAAGATATAGCGGCCTACTTGCCTCCTGGGCGGTGACTTCAGCCTCAAGCAACCGGTACCTCCTCCCTTTCGAAGGGAAACACCATTGCAAACTCTGATATTGCTCGTACAAGACCTAGACTCAGACGGGATGGACTGGTACCCGCCTAGGTGTCCAGCCTACCGCTACTGGGCCTCTAAAAATGCCAACTTTGTCTTCTTCTGCTCGGCCTCAAGTACCCAACACATCTACTTCTACTGGTGGTACCGGCCTACCTGCTACTTGAGTGTTTTTCCGCTGCTCTAAGTGTCGCGGGCCTCTGGCTCCGCCACTTGAGTGTTTTCCGTGCTGCAACCCTCAATGTCACGGCCACAGGTAAGTACCAGCCCTACGGGCCTCCCAAACAAGCAGGTACCCTTGGGGGTCAAACACACACTCATGCCGACAAGCACTCAAACAGGCACGCAGGACACCAGGCACGCACACACACAGACTTAGAAAACTCAGCAGAATGCGGGAATCTGAGCAAGGCATCCATTTCATCGACAAAACTCAAAAATCAGCAGTGTTCTCAGTCCGTGTTATGGCGCGTCATTACAATCCCCAAATGCACTTTCTAGTGTTGGGGAGGTTGACCAGGGTTGGGGGTCCTTGTTAACCGCTTGAGCCTGTTAATGCGCCAGGCTGTGCAGTGCGCGTGGTGTGGTGTGCGCGTGGTGCGGTGTGCGCCTGGCCAATGCGCGCGCACTGCACGCACTGTGCTCATCATGCAC